ATTCAAAGAGTTCGTTGCACGATATATGTCTTCATCATCTTCGTCCATTTTACCATTGATCGAAAAAGAAAACCAATTCTATACTATACGATCTCAATTACTGGATAAGCAAACCAGTGTCGAAAAAAAAAATACAATCAAGTGTAGCCAATACTACAAGCTATAATAAAAACCAAGCAGAGAATGATATCAAAATTCAACAACGACTGTCAAAGCAAAACAAATGGAACACACGTCTCATACTACATTTTTACACATGAACACCGTCTTGCAAGTTATAAAAAAGATATTCACACATATGGAACGAGACAATCAACAAAACACCAACTACAGGTACCAAACTCGTTGTTGGCAATCGCAATAGTCGAAACGCAACAAAAGAATTCGTTTCTAAACGTCCATCAATACCCATCAATATCTGAACTTGAAAAGCTAAAGGCACATGAATAACATTTTTTGTATTTTCTATATATTTCTCTTTATAATATCAATAAACTATATATTTCATCATGGAATCATGAAAGCACTGAGACAACAAATTGATCTAAGAATACTTTGAATAGTTACTAAGTTGAAACCATCTGAAGAGACCCTTTAGCAAGGTCGAAACGCATCATGGTTTGCTTGACTCATCCTCACCCTGTGCTTCAGCTGGAAAAACCTTTTGTACATATTCTAAATTTGCAAACGATGTATAATTCTATATATGTACATATAGAGTGATCGATATTCTTTTCGAATTGAGTTTTTCGCTTGTTTTCGACTGTTTTACCGCTCATCTTGTAAAGCCTATAAATTTTGACAGAAACAATATTTCTTCGACCAGAAAACACCACTGAAAAGAGCTCATCCTGAACAATAGAAAAAGCTAAAAAGGACGAAATTCTCATATATGCTCAGAGCACCGTTCTACATGGCTTAACTGTAATGAGTCGTATTGGGGCTTAGAGATTTATCACATCGCATTGCAAACAAGCATTTGGAGTTCTAATGAAGGAAATTAGCCGAAGCAAAGTGATCTCGATCAATTTTTAAAAAACTATTTGCTCGAGTACACTGTTCCATTTGGTAATATTGATTCAGATACAATTTTCGCCTGTTTTAACTGTTCATCAGTCAGTCCTTTACATTCATACCAGTTCACCTTTATAAATTTTGAATTTATCAACGAACTTCCGTTCATTACACACCATCGCATATCAACATCCGTAAACGTACAGTTATGTATCTCTGACTTTGTCAGTGACACATTCATCATATTGACACTACCACTGAATTCACTTTCAATGATAAGAGAACCATTCATTTCTGCATTGACGAATGCTGATCGAACAAACTTTGAATTCTGTATACGACTACCGATCAACGAACTGGAATTGAATAAACATTGCTCACATTCATACTGTTCGAAGTGTGTTTCATCTAACTTTGCTTTCAAAAAGTTGACGTTTATAGTATGGGAGTAGAGAAATTTTGTACGCACTAAAGATGTACCGGTGAATGACATCAATACTGTAAGTGTAGACAACATGATTACATCATTCATCATTGCATGATCAAAACTGACGTTGAAGAATGAGACGGAGTTAAATGATGCATTGTTCAAATTTGTATGACTAAAGTTCACTGAATAATACTGATGAAAAGACGGTGGTGTTAGTACAATGTGATCACGCGGTGAAGCAAAGTCAATGCCAGTTAGATCAGCTGACGACAGATCGATCACCATATCTCCATCAAGACGACCAGCCAACTTTCCTTCGTATAACGATTTAAACAGGAGAGTTTTACGTTTTGGATTTAATTGACGGAATGCAATTAATGTTTTAAAACGTGCAACGAAACGTGCTGCTTCATGATTCGTGTTATTGAGACGGACACCTTCTTTCAAGAGAAGTTCACTTAGAAACGTGTAATATTCCGTGGCGACACTGTGTTTCTGCTGATCTTCTACAACTTCTCGATCTTTACGACGATTTTCTTCGGCTATTTTAAAATCTTTACGTCGATTCTCTTCAGCAATTTCAATGTCCTTACGACGATTTTCTGATGCAATTAGAAGGTCGTTCTGACGTGTCTGGTTAGAAATGCGAATATCGTTCTGACGATTTTCATCGGCAATTTTAATTTGAAGTTCAGCTATTTTTAGATCTTTACGACGATTTTCTTCGGCTATGTCAATGTCTTTACGACGGTTTTCGGATGCAATAAGCAGGTCATTCGAACGTGTTTCATTTGCAAGTCGGACTGCGTTAGCACGATTTTCTTCAGCAATATCAATCTGCACTTCAGCAATCTTCATATCTTTACGTCGATTTTCTGCAGCAATTTCGATGTCCTTACGACGATTTTCTGCTGCAATGTGAAGATCTTTTGAACGTGTTTCATTCGCAATACGTATATCATTCTGACGATTATCCTTTGCAATATGTATCTGTAGTTCCGCTATCTTCAGATCCTTTTCACGATTTTCAGCCGCAATACGCAAATCCTTTTTGCGATTTTCAGCTGCTATACGCAAGTCCTTGAGACGATTATCCTTTGCAATATGTACCTGAACTTCAGCTATTTTGAGATCTTTTTTACGATTTTCAGCTGCAATGTCTAAATCTTTTCGACGATTTTCCGATGCAATGAGTAGATCTTTTTGTCGATTTTCAGCGGCAATACGTAATTGTACGTTAAATTGATTTTTACTCTGATTCATTTGTTGAAAACTGTTGAGAACGGTAAATATACCGATAGCAATCGGTACGGTGAGTGTTGCAATAAGTTGAATCCATTCAAAACGAGTGTGACCCAAAGCTACGTATTGCTGACGTCGGCGACTGTATTCCTTTTGTCTTTGTCTTTGTTGCTGTTTCTTTTTCTTTGTATCCGCTGGTACGATAACAGCACTGTGATTCGAATCGACAGTGCTTACACTAGCAAGACAAGAGAAGATGAAACCAATGGCGGGAACAGAAAAACTTTGCGAAGAAAAAGGTATGACTGAATAGCCTTGAAAGGAAAAAAGTCGAAGAGAAAATTTTCTTTGCTGCTATATTTTAAATCATAACAAAGGATAATCCATCGGGCAGTTCATTCGTGTTGATTTTGATGAAGCATCATGCAGTTGATAATCGGAATGAGCAATTAAACAAACAGTAAATTTTATTTCGAATTTTATTTGATATAAACACAGACGTCACACATATTCAGACAGGAAGAAGAAAGCTCCAGATAAGTAACATGATGAAACCAATTGCGAACAGCTCCATCGAAGAACACACAGTAGTGACCACTTCATCGAAAGTATCACCTTTCGACATTTTTCTTTGCACGTTTTTCTCTTCGACATTTTTTCTTTCGAGGTTACTCAGTCTATTCAAGAAAAATATACGAGTGTTTTGTTGTCTGGCGAAAGGCCAAACGAAATTTTTACATCTTGTCCATGTGTGATCCTGCACTACAGAAATATTAACTTTTCTCGCGGGTCGTTTACCGAGCTAGAAACTTCTTGGTAGACTCCCACCACGATTTGGAAACAAACAGTGCAAAGAAACAGATTTTCCTATCGGTAATAGTGGAAATGACCATCCCCATGGGGGCTCTATACTATTCCTATAGACAGAATGAAGCATAACACTTAATTATATTTTATATCTCCAGCCAATGATTATCCCAAAACATAGTATTCATTGATCCACATCTGCAGCAGAAATTTCAGATCAAAATATTCAAGTGAGGATGATATATCGATGTCGGTATTCTCACGTTGGAAGACGACAGCAAGTGCCAAGATCAATAGCTCAGTCTCGCTTGAATATTTTGATATGAAGTTTCCCGACCGATCATCAATCGACGAGATCTACCAGTGGTTAAATTTGTTTTTGGATCGTTTTCTGACTGACTATCGATGTGACATCGAGATCTCCAGTACGATAAAGGATGGAGAGTTGAAATTTCTGCAGCAGATGTGGATCAATGAATACTATGTTTTGGGATAATCATTGGCTGGAGATATAAAATATAATTAAGTGTTATGCTTCATTCTGTCTATAGGAATAGTATAGAGCCCCCATGGGGATGGTCATTTCCACTATTACCGATAGGAAAATCTGTTTCTTTGCACTGTTTGTTTCCAAATCGTGGTAGGAGTCTACCAAGAAATTTTTAGCTCGGTAAACGACCCGCTACAGAAGTTGATATTTGAAAAAATTAAAGTAATTAAACTATCAATCATGTTTTATTTATTAAAAATAATTGTGACGTTTAGTCCTAACTAAGGACATCATCACACACGTATGAGTGAAAAAAGGTGCACGAAGTATATATATACGAAAAGAAAAATATATTAGTCATAATAGAGAATTTTCTTAAACATTCCAATGCAAGGGGGAGAACGATGAGTCATCTGCATTGGAATGTTTAAGAAAATTCTCTATTATGACTAATATATTTTTCTTTTCGTATGTATATACTTCGTGCACCTTCTTTCACTCATACGTGTGTGATGATGTCCTTAGTTAGGACGAAACGTCACAATTATTTTTAATGAATAAAACATGATTGATAGTTTAATTACTTTAATTTTTTCATTTATAAATTTAATCCTATCAAATGATATTTAAGTTGATATTTCTGTAGTGGTTGCATTTTTAATAAAGTGAATCTCAAGTTTTCGGAAAGTATAAGAGTTAACTTTTAAAATTTAGTTTTTATGTCGTACCACGTGGTCATTGAAAGCGTTCATATTTATAACCTATAGTATAGTATCTCTGAGCATTACGAAGTGATTAAAAATAACCCCAAAAAATATTCTGTCATTTTTTAATCAAGCCGTCAATTAAAAATATGCCTGAAGCGGCGATTTCTCTATCGAAGGGAATATATCTCCAAAAACAACTCTGCATTTTATTTCTAATCGTACGCATTTTAAAATTATTATGAAAATTGGTTTGTCAGAAAATCCGAATTAAAATTGCCAAAATGTTTGAATTTATGAAGTCAAACTTCAAGTTTCGTTCAAAATAAGATTAGACTCAAAATCGGGTCGCAAAACTGCGTCATATTGTTTATTCAATGATTAAAATTAACCAGCAAAACGTCATGTTACATGGACAAGCCGTGTATTGATTATTTGAAATGTCTGACGTCATTGTAGATATGCTTCTCCTATAACTATCTCCTTATTATTAAAAACCCTTGAAGTTACTGGTCGGTTTTTGTTAAAGAAAGAATAACTAGTACAAAATGCAACACTGGCGACGAGAACTCATTATCCGTATTAATGCTAGTTGTCTCAATAGTTTTTGACAAGTTCTTCTAAACTTGATCAATGTGATCAGAATAGCTGTGCTACAGGACAGGTATACACCAATTCAGGAGCTTAGTTTGTAGATTATCTGCAGCTGGGATAGTTTGACGATCAAAGCTTGAACTTCAAATAGTTTGATCATTAAAGTATATGGTATTTGATATTGTTGCACACTTGGTGCCTTGTTCTGCCTGTGATGTGAAATATCGACAACCCAATACCCAACATTTTGTCTGATGAAGTTAGGTCTCTTGAAAGTAGTCTTCAATGATAACGGCCGTTTCTGATGTTGAAGGAAGGGTCATACAGCATTGACTCAAAAACATAAAAACAGAAAATAGAATTTCCTACAAAATTGCCTCTGGAGTCGATTTTGCAAAATTTTTTCTTCATATACAAATTTCGGAACAAACAGTTTTTCCAGTATTTTTTAATTCCATTTTTAAATTTTTCCAAAACTGGATTATGAAGAAGCGGTTGTACGGATTGGTTAAGAGGCATTTTTGTAGCAAATTCTATTTACTATTTTTTATGCTCTTGAATCAACCCTGAATGACCCTTTCTCTGGTACTAAACATGTGTAAAAAAAACCCTTTTCTTACCTGAACACCAGTGTTTAGAGACCTGATTCCATCAGACAAATTGTCGGACATTCAATGCTGAACATTCCATGTCATAGGTAAAACAATGATGAATACATACTTCATGAACAGTTCATTTCTAGTGAAGAAATGCAGCTGTTAGAATGTGTTCTTAATAATGGTTACCTTGAGCCTGACTTGACCCATATAATGTCCCAGGTCGAACAGTACGGAAAGGAAATGGTCGGTTTCGTGGAATTCTGGAGATTTTGTGGAAGTAGTATTCCGGACCGGAAAATCTTCGAATTTTTCCGGCGTCTTCCGACCTAATCCTTGTTCTTTCTAGTAGGAAACGGCCGGAAGTTACCGGAAAAATCCGACGATCATCGCACCTGGAATACTGCTTCCAATTCCATCGATTCGGAGGTTTTCCTGCCGGAAACGGTGGTTTTTCCTCCCCTTTCCGGCCAGTTCCGGTCGTTTTCGGAGGGCGGAATCATCGACCTGGAGTCAATTCCTAATTCTCAGACTGAGAATTGATGCATCCTGAGTCATTAAAAGCAATTTAAAACAGTACTCATAGAATCAAAGCTTCGGAATTGGTGCATTCCTACTACAGAATGTTAACCTATAGAACTTACCTCATTGTAACAATTTCTTGTAAACGAGTTTCTTGGATTTCTTTACGAACAACATTATTATTATTATGTATTTCCATGTGTCACACCTGTATACTTTTATCCTTGGATACTATATAGATGTGGGTGTACGATTAATATTTCCAAACACCTGCTGTATTAGCTACTGATGATGAACTAAGAGGCCGGCAGTAGCGACCGAACGAGAAGCGTTAGAGAATGTATATGTACTGTAAACAATCAAAAGTTGAAAAAAAACAGAACAAAGTGCCTGTCTGTTGTGCTACAAACGAAAATTCAAAGATGATAAGAGCATATCAGCTTTCAATCAGTTCTTGCAGCTCTACTTGTTATGTTGGTAATTTGATCTAGTACACAACACACATACACACATAAAGTTGCATACATCTTTTCATTTCTTCTCGGTTCTCATTCGTTGCTATACACACTAAAAGAACAACCTAAGAGAAAGTCATCGATAGTTCTTTCTGCATACAGTAAATCTCGTCAAATGTCTCACTCGGTAAAAGGTTCACGACTGTAATTACCACAGTTTATCTTGACTACGATGATATACGATGTGCAAAATTAAAATCTGGACCGCTAAAAATTTTCTCACTCGTACAGTTGTACGTGTAGAATCGAATAAAACCATTAAAAAAAGTAGGCTTTGCTAAACAGTCTCATCTTTTCCGTTCTCTGCAAACTCCTTGACCGTCCCATACATTCTATCCACAAATGGTTAAAGAACAAGAAGAAGAATGCAGCGAGAGAAATTTGTCGTCGAACAAGGACTAGTTGTGCGTAGCTTCTCAAAAGAGATACTTTTTAAATAAGCATTTAGCTATTTTATGCTTTCACAGCTACGTGGATTCCTTATAGTTACTTGGATTTTGCATAGCTACTTGGATTTTACATAGCTACGTGGATTTCTCGCAGATATTTAAATCTTCAATCTTCATTAAAACTATTATGTTTTTAGAGGCTCAAAGTTATTAAGAAGGTAGCACTCCTGTAAGATTATGGTGGATTATTAATCCAAATAGTTATTTGATGTTCCCAATTATTCAAAAATTTGCTTCTTTAAAAATTTAATTGTGGCAATTCAAACCTGCAAAGATCCTCAGTGTAAAAATGGAATTTTAGTTTCGAATATGCTTTAATAAACGTTTTCACTGATCTGATCCAGAGAATTCACTGCTTTAATGCGTTCTTACAAAAATCAAATATGAAAAACTTATCGTAATGTCATAATAAATAAGGTAATCATAAATAATACAATAGCAAGAAATTTAAAAAATGATCGTAGTGTAAACCAAGAAACGCTTATTCGTCGAAAAAGAGGTATAAGAGACGACGAGATCTTCCTCCCATAGATATCAATATACTTCTGATAATAGAAAAACTACTGCACTGAGTATTTTTAATCCATTGATTACGTGCAAAATCTACTACTTAACCCTCGCACATCTACCCATTAAATGGGCGCTTATTCTCTACCAGAAGTCCATACGATCCCAGGTAGATAAAACAGGAACAATACATGAAGGTAATATTAGACTATGTTGGAACTGCGGAGGCTTGTAAAGAGATATCACCGCAAAACGAACGAACAGAAATGCAACCGTTTTGATTTATATTCAACCATTTTTTTTCTTGTTATTTTCTTTTATTGTCAAAACGTGTCGCATCATGTAGCATAAAGAACCTTGTGATGATGTGGGCAGCAGGGAATATGACATTTCGCGAAGTGAGTGGCGACTTTCTGGTCGCGTTCTCTCGGACAATGTCGGCCACGTTGTTTTCCATTGTTTGCTGGTGCAGAGACAGGCAATGAGGCAACAATAGGTAGTTCAACAGCTTGTATAGCCAGTCGAACATTATTTTGCACTGCATGTGGTTGTTGACTACGCCGATCCAAGTACACGTCGGTTAGGTTGTCACCTAATTTCAGAAAAAATAGGCGTCGACTGTGCGATTTTTCATCGTTCCATTGTGGGTTTTTGCTGATCCATACAACAAAAGCAGCAATCGCAACAACATCGACTATACTGCAAAACAAGGCCATTGGTCATCAGAGATGGGACCGGTTCGGTTTTTAACCGAACCGAGCCGACCGACCGTAACCGAAATCGGTTCGGTTGGAAAATTTTAAAAATTCGGTCGGTTACGTTCGGTTCGGTTGGAAAGAACCGAAATCATTTTTTTAATTTGATTTCAGCGGATTTTCCGGTGAGATATAACAAAGAAAGAAAAAAAGTGCGACCGCACTACAGTTAGGTCGACTGACTGCACGAAATGCAGGCAGTAGCCGATTTATTGCTTTCGACTCGCTTAGTTGCCATAGTAAATCCTTCTTCTTCTCAACACATGAGTTATAATTCTAGTCAGTCCCGCATTCTTAGCGCCCGAGCATAATTTAGAATCGGAAAAAAGTTTGACGAAATCGTGAGAACGTCATAAGTGCACATTCGAAATCCGTTTCTCCAGAATCGGTGTAGTCTTAGAGACATTAAAGAAATCGAAAATGATAATTAACAACTAATAGTTTCCTTATATGGCTATGGATGATTCAGTCTTACATGGCAATTCAGATCTAAGATGTTAAATTTTTCGCTGATTATTGTCTTGTGAAATTTTAAATAGTACAGCATGAAGTCTGCAGCGCATAGATACGTTTTTTCTAATGGCGGTCAAACAATCGAAAGAAATATGCAGAAAAACGATAATTAACAGCTGATGATGATCATTTATATTCCAAAATGATTCAATAGCAGAAAGTCAGCAAATTTAGGTGTCATTCATATAAAATTCCTTGAGTTTTCACATCTATTATCATCGGCGGTAGCTCATCTCGTCTGCAGTCAGCCGACTTTTCAACTCGAGCTTGTCCCAGGTGGAATTCTAGTGTTCAATTTGCTGTTCGTATTCAATTTGATGTTGGCGGTATTCAAGTGTGGTTGGTAATATTCAATTTGTTTTTTCTAATATTCAGTTTGTTGAGTAAGTGTTTTTTTTCTAACTGAACGTTAGAAAAAAATTCGGTCGGTTACCTTCGACTCGGTTGAAAAATTTTTACAATTCGATCGGTTACGTTCGATTTGGTTAGCGATTTTTTCGGTTACGATCGGTTCGGTTAGCAATTTTTTCGGTTACGATCGGTTCCGTTAGGAAAAAATACCAACCGATCCCATCTCTGGTGTCTAACTCATGTCTAAACTAGACTTTAGACGGATAGCATCTTTTAGAGTGTCTAGTAATAACTATTGACTATAGTTATAATCTTGAGAATTACTTAGAAACAGGTTGATTATAGCCACTAGCTAATACAATTTTCAACATTATTCAACGCTGCTCATGTAAAACAATTAAGTTAAAAATTAGATTAAAATTGAATAAAATGATATGCTTTTAATTGATTTCATTCGTTTTGTAACTTATTTTAATTCGAGTGAGGCAAAAAAATCAAAACTTTATTGATTATTCTGTTTAATCTCGATTATATTCGATTAAAATTTGGTAGAAAAACATTGATGTTAGTTGATGCAATTGAAAGTAAACTGGTTAAAACAAAGTTTTCATTTATTACAGAGAAAAATAAATTAAAACTGATATCTTTTCCTCAATTATTAATTGATTACAATCGAAATTAATCAGAGAATCATGAAGTTTTGATTTTTTTTCGGTTTTTTTTTAATATAATCATTTTTAACCTATTGAGATCTCATTAATACCCTCTTTTTTACATGAGCTCACAACAATTAAAATTATTAGTCATATACATGCTTTGAATAAGGTACACTCACACCAAGTATCACCGAGCTATCCTCAGTTTTACCCTTCTGAGCAACGCAGAAGCGCATTTCTCTCTATCTTTAACTTGTCTTCTCTCTCGTTTGTTGATGTGATAACGAAGAAATAAGTGAACAATAGAACAATCTGTTTGCTGATAAAAGTACTGATGGATGAATATGCGAAAAAAAATCTTCGAGAATAATTTCTAAATGCCAAGTTTTTAAAGTAAATACAAACGAAACACATATGTTCCCTCGACTGAAAGGAGGGTCATATGAAAAAAAATAGTTTGCTTGTTGCTTGTCACAAGGTCAAAAGAACATCCGCTTAAACATCAATGATCATATTTCCTCGACTGTAGGGAGGGTCATATAAAAAAAATAGCTTGTAGGTTATCGAGGGCGCTGAATCCGAATCCGAAGCCCACTTCTTTGGCCGTCATTTCATTGGTCGGAAACCGGCCAATCAGAAACAAACTTTCTTATTTTAAGACTTTTGACCGTTTTGATCGAAGTTTGCTATAGGTTATCAAGGGCCCTGAATCTGAATCAGAAGTGCATTTGTTTGGCCGAGATTTCATTGGTCAGCAACCGGCCAATCAGAAACGAACTTTTTTAGTTTGAGACTTTTGACCGTTTCGATCGAACTTTGCTATAGGTTATCGAGGGCTCTGATTCCGAATCCGAAGTCCATTTCTTTGGTCAAAGTTTTATTGGTCAGAAATCGGCCAATCAGAAACGAACTTTCTTATTTTATGATTTTTGAGCGTTTTGATCGAAGTTTGCTATAGGTTACCGAGGGCGCTGAATCCGAATCAGAAGTCCATTTCTTTGGCCGAGGTTTCATTGGTCAGAAGCCGACCAATCAGAAACGAACTTTCTTATTTTATGACTTTTGACCGTTTTGATCGAAGTTTGCTATAGGTTATCGAGGGCTCTGATTCCAAATCCGAAGTCCATTTCTTTGGTCAAAGTTTTATTGGTCAGAAATCGGCCAATCAGAAACGAACTTTCTTATTTTAAGTCTTTTAGCTGTTTTGATCGAACTTTGCCGTAGGTTATCGAGGGTGAAAAATCCGAATCTAAAATCTGGATTTCAAAATTCAGATTTCGAATCTTTTCGTTCTCTGAGAAGTGATGCTAAGAAACTGTAAGTACTTTGTAATGCGTGACAGCAGTGTAATGAATCAAGAAATACGAAGATAAGATGGAATTAGAGTACTTGTAGAACAAAGATTGAGGAATGAGAGCAAATTACGCAAAAAAATTACTTAGGTTGACAGGAT